TGGCGTACAGTATAGCCATGCTGGCCACATGACCACAGAAATGTCTTTGGGCAACCTGGCTCCCTTGGCCAAGAAAGGGAGATGAGCACTGTGCCCTAGAGAAGACTGAAAAGGGAAACCTTTACCTCTCTGCTCTAAAGAGTCGGCATTATTTTCAGTTGCCGGGCAGTATGAAATGTTTATATACAAACCAAAACAAAAAAAATCAATATAATAATAAAATTAACAATAATCCCCAATCTTAAGGTTACTCATTCTCTCTCAGCCTTGGGAAAGAGGCAAGGGCAAAACCACTTCCAAAATCTTGCCAAAACCACTGCAGGGACTTGTTCAGGCAATCACCAGGAGTCAACATTGACTCAAAGCAATCCCCCAACACAGAAAATATTAGGAGACACTATGTGAGAATACCAACACTCGCGCCAAACATGACAGTCTCACAAGTTTTCAAGAATTTCTCTTTTAAAATAAAACTATTAATATTTTTTTAAAATATTTTTAGATTATGGAGACCATTGTGATTGCTCTGATGTCAAACACAATCACATGCTGCATTGTTAGCTTCAGACTAAGGTATTAAAGTAAGTAAATGAAATCCGGACTTACATCTACAATCATGAAATCCAGCCAGCACCAGGCATTGGTGAAATAGGCTTGAAAGCCATAAGCCACCCACTTCAGAAGCATTTCTAAAATAAAGATGTAGGTGAAGACCTTGTCTGCGTATTCCAGTATGGTCTTGATAGTTTTGCGCTGCTCAATATATATGTCTTCGAAAGCCTATGAGTTAAAATACTACTACAAGTAAGGTCATAAAGGCAAAGGATTAAAGATGTAAGAGGAAAAAAAAGAGGAAGGAAGAAAAATAAAAAAGGAAATACCTCGATCCATACTGTATTCGATATTTCACAGATTTGTTTTGCATTAATTTGTATCTCAATTATATTTTGGATAGTTGTATTTTGTTATTCCATCAGGATCATTTCTGCTGCTTTTTAAAATAACACAATGTTTACTACTTCATAGGCCCTACTTATGAATCACCACACTTATTTGCCCCATTATAAAATACTTCCTGTATTTCAAAGTCATCAGGATAAACCTTTTTGCCCCAGTTGCTTTGGGGCCTTCCCATCTTTGTTCCCATTTACCTACTCTATCTGTCTAGCCAGCCTGTTTCTTTTCTATTTATTGCTACATATATGTAGGGATGTGGGTCTATACATATGTTGTTCATAGTATGTTTAGGTGTGTGTCATGTATGTGTTTCACTTTGACAGTGGGCAACTAAATTTCATTTTTGATGTGTGCCATTGTGCCCACAGTATAAAAATGACAATAAAGGTTATCTTATCTTATCTAATGTAATGTAATAACTCGTTCCTCTCATTCTCCCCTACCCATCCTAACAATCAGTGATAAAGAGATTTCTTTTGCACACTTGTTTCTATTTCTATTTTTTTTAAATCACTATGGTTACAGGTTAATAAAGTTGGTCAAACAGGTGCATTACTAAAAAAGTAAATTTGCCACTCCATAAATTTTTAAGAAAAAAACAACAACTTTTTCTCCAAGGTGGGGGATTCAAGGTTATTCTATTTTTCCCTTCCATCTTTGTATTAAGAAAAGGGTTCTTTTTCTACCTTTTCCTGAATAGCAGCATGGTAGTGGTATGTGTTGTGTGTGAGTGTGCACTTGCACCCACATATACATGCGCACAGCACAGTCCAATGAAACTTGGAGCAAGTGCTGCTAATTGGTTAAATAGCCAATCTACTTTTATGCAGAATAAATCCTCTTCTTGTATCCGGGCCAACAGATTCCTATCCCAACCAGATGGCAATTGTCTGGTGGCGTCTGGAATAAGAAAGTGTTTCTACTACTTATTTTCACCTCAAAATATACAAGTATCTTGCTTAGCGAAGCCCCCCCCCCCCCCGAGAGAGAAGCCCAATTATATGGCAGCAGGAATGGCTACAGATTTATCCACAGGTGCTTTCCCAAGCATCACACCTAATGCTCCTTCAGTCTATTTCTGGGCGTCATTTGGGGGCTTCTAGACGTTGTTGAAAATGCTGCCATAGAAATAGTTTTGAATCTGGCCCTTAAATTATCACTTGGTTTCATTAACATAAGAACAATGAAGAGGCAACTAAGATGGCCTCACAGAGCATATCTGCAAAGGATCAGAGGTCCTCAAGTGTACACTGATCATGACACAAAAAGCAGGTATATATATGTACAAGTTGTCTGCATGTCACCACAGTCGCAAAGGGCAGAAGCCACCGGATAGCTCCAGTGCCTCTGGGTCTTCTTGTACCCGTGCAACGATTTTTATGCTTGCCAGCTTTCGTCAGACCCAGGTGCCAGTTCCTCTGTTGGTTCCGTCCAGTGCTGGTTCTTTGTAGCTTTCCCTAGATCCACTCTGCCTTCAAATTCTCTGAAGACTTCTGTCAACCTAAGGAAGCTTTTCCTGGATTTTAATCTCTGATGAACTGCTTGTAGGCCATAAAGAGGGTGTTGTCTAGTTATGGATGATTTAAGCCTCTCTGTGTATGCTGCTTCTTCTCTGTAAACAGCAGGCAGGGCAATGCCGGCTAAGTTGTACATCTTATCTAGAGGGATAGGTTTAAGGCATCCGGTAATAATTCTGCTAGCTTCATTCAGAGCAACTTCTACTTTTCCAGTGTGTGATGATTTATACCAGCCTGGGCAGGCATATTCTGCCAGCCTACTGTAGAGCTATTGTCCTAAGGACTCTTGGTTTGGCACTTCAGGTAGAGCTCATTAATGAGCTCTACCTGGATCAGCCTATCATATGCACTTAACAAACCGTGTTATATAAATGGCTATTATATACATGCTGCAGAAATCGAAAGAGATGGGAGACAGTGTGGAAAAAGAACCAAAGTTTTCTGAAACTCTTCATTGCCATCTGGTGGTTGTGAAGATTTTGAGCCCATATATAGCATTCTTACAACCCATATATATGAAACTGCAAAATCCCTATAGATGTCAAACTAATAATAATTGACATTTTATGTTCAATGTACCACAGCACAGGACTTTAAAAACATTTTATATTTTCAGAATTGAACAGAGTTAAGAGCCTGATCCCTTGCATTTATACATGTTTAAAATACTAGTGTCTTAAAGAGCTTCCAGAAAGAATCTGTTCAAAATGAGGCAGGTTCTACCACATTCTTTATAATCTATTCAACAACATCGTGACAAAGAAATAGGACCTTGGTGACCTAGAGAAATTTTTTAAACTCAGCCAGCTATTATTAACAAAATGAAGCAAGGCAAAAATAATATAGCTATGAGAGAAGAACATCTGAAACATGTATAAGTATCATATGATTTCATATGTCTCTATATTACATAAGTTAAATGAAAGGTTTTATTTGATGCTGAAGTGACCACTGATACTACCAGACAAGTTTTCCTCATAACCAGGATATCACCAAAAGCGTCTCCCTTCGCACACTCAATTTCATTTGTATAAATATTGAGGTTGCCCCTCCAATTAGTTCATTTACTTAATTTCAAAAGCAATAGAACTTGGAAGCATATATATGTGAAGTGATATGGAATGCTGTTGTAACACAAGCAACAGTTATCCTAGATCAGAGGTCCCCAACCTTTTGGGCACCAGGGACTGGTTCTGTGGAGAAAGGTTTTTCCGCAGACCGGAGAGTGGGTGGTTTTGTATGCCGCCTGCATCCCATGGATGGGGCTTTGCTTATTTGTGTGGATCAGTTGCTGGCATGCCACAGCCTGGTACCGGTCCACAGACCGGGGGTTGGGGACCCCTGTCCTAGATAACTTGATTATCCTACAACTGTTTCATTTCCAATTGAATATGGAATTCATTCAACTTACCAAAGCACCACTGCTTAGAAGAATCATGAAGACAATGAAGGTTTCAAACCAATTGTGTTCCACTATCTTAAAGCAAGTTTTGCGAAGGTTCCACCAGCATTTGCCTTTCCCAGACTCTATATTGATCTGACAACATCTGAATTTCTGTACACAGCCTAGAAAACAGAATACTTGCATTAAACAAACTTAACAGTCATAAAAAATAACCATTACCTATGATAACACAAACTCTTTATAGAAACCCCTGCAATTTGTTTCCAGAATTGTGTTTAGCACATGGAAAGTGTGAGTTTCTATTAACTGACAAAATGCCAATATAGCAAAAGTCTTAGCAAACAGAAGGAAAGGAGATGTTATTTCAGATTCCACTTCCTCTGCAAGTTCCTGGGCCACCTTCCCCCGTTCTAATGTCCTTAACCCAGAAGCGTCCCAAATGTGTCAAATGTTGAAACAGAGTCCTGTTGTGATGACACAAGCTCTGCCCTTTATGTATGTGCCTTCTATAGCTGCATACACACACAAAAGGGCAAAACTAGTTTCACAACAGTACAGGATTAGTTTGTCTGAACCCCAATGGTTTGGAATAAATTTTTATTAGGTACAGGTAGGAGCCAAAGACACCAATGGGATTTGCTTTGTTACTACACTATTTCTGCTCATTAATTTCTGGAGTCTTTTCTTACATATTTTACATATTCCAAAGCCATGGCTACAGCTCGTCAACACTCAATGTATGAATAAAAAGATGGAAGAAACAATACGATCCCCTTGATAACTTGGGTTGTCTTTGAGGGAAGAAGAACATGATAAAAGTAATTTTCTGCTGTTCATCTTTAAATCAGCATTAGACTCACTTATGTCAGATTCACATATCCAATTAAATTTTATAAATCACTAGTACTAAATTCAGCATGCATGATAGATTATCGATGAATAGATCATCAACATACATGGCACTGAATTTAGAGAGCTACAAAGGTTGGTTCAGGTTTCTTCTAAGACATTCCTCCTAAAGATCTGGGGAATCTTTAAGAATCCACAGGGAAATAAGCAATCTTTTCAAATGGTCTCTCTCTCTCTCTCTCTCTCTCTCTCTCTCTCTCTCTCTCTCTCTCTCTCTGTGTGTGTGTGTGTGTGTGTGTGTGTGTGTGATAAAAAGTCTAGTTGTTTACTTTGTTGCCTGGAACATGTTTTACTTTTCCATTTGTAGGCATATTGCATTTGTCCAATACTCCAACTGCATTATTGATTGCGAATTATGAGGGATAAACGGCATGTATTTTCAGAAATAATAGTGTGAAGACTGAGGCTGGCAAGGCCAGAAGCCTAAGACTAGACAGGACTGTTATTAAATCATGGTACAGGTGCCCTCCATGTCCACAATTAAGAAATAAGCTACAAGAAGTTCATTACTATGTAAGAAAGGGAGAAAGATATATAAGATATAAGATCTAAGCATTGCAGCTATGAATAAAAGACTTGATTCTGCAGCAGCTATATTCATTATTACAGCTTCTTAAGACTGCATTAAGCAATTTAAGCCCCACCCTTCACAATTGCGCTTTTAACTTCTAGAAACATGCCTCTCTACTTACACTGTCATTGTTACTACTACCTTTTCAGAGGTTGGTTATTTCTTTCTTACCCAGGTTAAACAAACAGTAATTAAATATATTTCAAAGGCAACTTCCCATACTTTCTCTACTTTTTTTCACTGATTAAAACACCCCACAATCTTTTTTGCATTCTACTTAATCACAGAAAGAAAATGAATCAACAGGAAACTTCTTCTTTTGCAGTGTCTAAACAGCAATTTACTGTTCGTATTCTGGCAAGTGAAAAACCCTCTACAACCTAATTCTCATTTTCTAATTCCAAAGGTTACTGTCTGCCACATTACAAGTGGGCTTGCAGTCTGAGTCTTTCATAAACTTGCATTTTTTTCTTCAGAGGCCAAGAAATTGATTCCACAATAAATGACTGACACATAACCTTTCAGTTACTAGCCAGCAAAGTTAAATCAAGGTACACAGCAATACAAAGATAATTACAAATTGCAGATTCAAATAAAAATTCCTGGTGATATCATATGCAGATTAACAAGCAACCCTTGGTTGAAAGCAAGGGTTGAAAAAGGCAATAATTTGCAAATTTCCCAATGCAAATTCGCAATAAATACACACAATAACCACAGTAAAGTTGGTCCCTTTGATACATACCATCAGTAAAACAAGGTTTTGGTTGTGGTGGGCCTTTTGCTGCAGCATCAGATTCTTTGTCTCCAATAGATGCAAAAATAATTGTGCTACCTTCAGTGGAGCTGTAAAGACTTGTTTTCTGCAAATAAAATCCCACAAGGCATTTTAAAGAAAACAGTACTTATTCTGAATGGAAGTCATGCATGCAGTTGTGATACTTTTCAGGGATAAGCAAATTTCAAACTTAGGAGGACATGTCCTATTCTCTCCTTTTCTACCACTCTTACAATATTAGGCAACACAATATCAACAGTAGAGTCCTTCAAGTTTCTAGGTTCTATTATCTCCAAGGTCTTGAAATGAACACCTAACATTAGAACCATCATTAAAAAGACATAATAAAGAACGTTATTCCTTCATCAACTCAGAGGAATTATTGAGTCTGTCATTTGTACCACAGTTAATTGTCTGGTTTGGCATGGCAACCAAACAGGACAGGTACAGACCTCAATGCATAGTTAGGACTGCAGAAAAAACAATCGCACCAGTCTGCCTTCCATTGAGGATCTGTATACTGCATGAACCAGAAAGAGGGCTGAGAAAATATCTACAGACCCCTCACATCCTGGACATAAACTATTTCAACTTTTCCCCTCAGGATGCTGCTATAGAGCAGGGGTATCAAACTGCCGGCCCATCCGGAAGCTGCGCCCACCCCATTGCCGGCAATGGCAAAATCGGTCCGATACGTTGCGCGACGTCATGTGACATCACGAGTTTGACATCCCTGCTATAGAGCATTGCGTAAAGAAAGTCCCCACCTCCCGGTGCCTAAGCTCTGCTGAACCCTTAATTCCCATAGCTTTGTCTCATTTCTCATCTTTTCTCATCTTTCCATCATTCCTATTATCTTCTCCTATTGGTTTATGATTTATCAATTGTTGTTTGTAACTTATGATTAATGATTGCAACTATGATTTATGACCTATGTCCTATTACTTGATGCTTATGTGTACACTGTGAGCTATGCACTGGAGACAAATTCCTTGCGTGTCCAATCATACTTGGCCAATAAAGAATTCTATTCTATTCTATTCTATTCTATTCTATTCTATTCTATTCTATTCTATTCTATTCTATTCTATTCTATTCTATTCTAGTCAAAGAGAGTTATATGCAAAATAGTGAGTCAGGCAAGCAGCCATATGCTGCATATATAACTCTGCATATTTCAGAAAATTGTAAATGGTATTACAGCCAAGCTTCTAAGGCCCTCCACATAGAAAGCTATACTGGGTTTCCCTTCAAAGATTCCTTTCCAGTAATCTAATTGGGGAAAATGGAATGAGAAGTGTTTTACTTACAGGCAGTCCTCATTTAGCAACAACAATGGCACCAATGATTCAGTCATTAAGCAAAGCAGTCACTAAGTGAAAGCCTGACAGGGTTTACAATTTTTCTTCAGGTTTTTTTTTTGCTTTGCAGATCTGAGAAGGGCATAAATGTGAGGATTGGTGGCTATGTTAGGTTTTTCATCACTGTTGCTAAACGAGGTTGTTGCTAAACGAGGTTGTTGCTGTATTTCCGTTGGACAATTAAAAGTCCAAAAGAAATTATTGCTGATCGATTGAAAAGTATCCAGGAGATATCAAGTCACCTTTGGCCTAACCATCACATACCCAGTGTGGTATATACAACTTTCCAGGGCGGAAATACCTAGAAACATCTATATTTTCTCATATGTATTGTTTCTATAGCTCAGCATGATTTAATTATACTTCATGAAGATGAAACGAAATCTTTTTTAAAAGTGTTGGCATCAATCTGGAGAGAGTTGTGCTGAGGCCATCAGTAAATATTCCATTCTTTTACTCTTGTTAGTCACTATCCCTTTTTAAAAAAACATTTATGTCTCAGTCAATGGTTTGGATTTACGTTCAGCTCTTCCCGTTATCTGCTGACTCCTCATAAGAACTAATGGACGTTTCAGATTAATATATGACATGGTGCAGAAACCTGAGCAAAGCTGGTGATAAAAATGGGATGTCTTGTCTGCTATATGCACACTTACGTATTGTAATGTCACTTTGCCACTTCCTATCATTGAAACTTTTTGTTTAATTGAAGATCACTTGAGCTAGGAAAAAACAGTGCTAAAATACTGAACAAGTATCACAGATGATAAACCATTTTTTTTCCAATACAGCCAAGGCAACACTGAAATCTCTACAGTGAAAGATAACAAATAAATTGCATTCCAACAGCCTTTGTTTTGCATTCTTTCTTGCGGAAGCACAAATTTGTTAATTTCTGCACATTTAAAAACTATTTGTTATTTTGGTGCACATATAGATATAGATATCCAGATTGTTACTGGGGGAAAAATCAGATTGTGACTATACGGATTTGATATCTACCAATCTTGAAAACATCATCACATATGCAATGTGATTTAATGTAGCATTCTAGGCAAGTACAGAACTGATACAAACTGGAAAAACAATCAACCTATATGAGTTTCCAAAATAAAGCAAATTAGTTTTGGTAATGGTGTTTTCCAATCTGTTGCAATGTTATTACCATAAAGTATAACATCAGAAATGAAGTATAACATCAGAAATGAGTTCAGCGCTACGCAGCTGGATGAATATAATGAATGATGAAAGCATATTTAAAACAATATAGGATCACTATTGGTGCAATCCAATTTCCTTTTTTAATTTGAAAGATACAAAATAAAAGATACAGAATAAAATATATTTTATTTTATTCTTTAAAATAAAAATACACACATTTATAAATTTATATTGTTTTTCATTCAGTTCCTCCCCCTTTTTTAAAGGAAGGCCATGAGTACAAAGTGAATGAAAACAAAATATTTATTTATAACACATGGCTATTTATCTGCCACAGCATCACTGGGCTGCATTATCCAACCCACGCAATAATATTTCACAAGGGAAAGTCATTGTATCATCCTGCTATGTTGTCTTCCTTGAAACTGTCTTCCTATAATTACCTGGGTGAAACAAACTAGACTAGATATTCAGATATACCATCTATAATCTCCTCATGAGAACCACTAGAGTTTTAACTTCTATTTCACAAAGCTGACAAGGCTGCATAAGCCTTGGGTTCTCTTAACTTTTGACAGCAGTTGTCCTAATCACTGATGGCCAGAACAAATTATATCATAGGAACATTTTCTCCCATCTTGGCTGGGGAAGAATGCTATCAGAGATCTCCCAACTCTTGGAGAAAGCCTCAGGCTGGTTATCTGAACAAGGCAAATATTTCTATGGCATTATTGATTCCAAAAAACAAAATGGGTGCTTGAACATGGAAGTGAGGAGACAATGGGGATGCCATCTCGGTCAATGCCTCTAATTTTTCCCCTGAATGATTCATTACAACAATCCCTCCTCTATAACTGGGCAGGAATGCATATTATTTAATCTTCTGCTACTTTCTGAGGAAATGGAAACTTTTCCATTCAGATCACCAAAGAGCTGATAAATTGCCTGAGGGAAGACACTTGTATTCAGTTCCTTGCCTGTTACACAAATGATTTATCTGTTATTGGAAAAACAGGCCATGTAAGAATTGCAAAGCGCTCACTATAAGGGGGCTATAAGGATTGTGTCTATGTTAAAATAATCATATATCACTCTCCTTATTACCGTAGGCTGAGCTGTAATGTTTTTGCTTTCATCATTCTAATGTGGACATTTTTCTTACCAAACGTTACAACAGCAACTGGACATATTCATTCTGAACTGGATTATAAAACAAAGCTAATAGAAAATGCTTAAGTAGCTAGATATGTGTATCATGCTAGATAATTTCAGATTATTTTTAATTGTTTAATAAATAGTTACTATCATCTTCCCCTTTATCCTTCAACCTTAGTAGTTTTCTCAGTTCTTCAGCAGAACATCTGAGAACAGATCTGAATGGTGCCACAGCATTCCAGAGTAATAAAGTTCTCATTTCCACCTTTTTTTCAACCTTCCCCATCCCAGCTCTTCTTTCCCCATGATATTATTTTTCCCCCCTCATCTCACTGAGTCAGCTTCTCACTAGGCCTTGCCTTCCGCACTTTAAATTTAATACGATACCCTGAACATACATCCTGGAGCCTTCCATCCCTGGATCAGAAACAGAAAAGATTTGTGATTGACTATGGCAGCTTATATCAACCCCACCAGATCATCAGTTGTAATAATCTCCCTGTTTGGTGGAGAAAGCCAGGAGCCAGGCCGGTTCTTGTTCTGGGGAGCAATAATAGTGAGGAACTATGTCTATTTCCTGAACCCAGAGGAATCAGGAAATCTAATTTCTCAACATGAAAATACTATGAAATGGAGTTCATCAGACCAGCAAGGAGAGTTAAAAAGCTAGAAGAGAAAGAAGAATTTAATGGATCAACAAGAACTGTGAAAATGTGTTCTCCACATTTTACACGAGTTTCTTGCTGTAGTAGAAAAGCTAAGGGAAGTGCGGAGAACGGAAGAGGATTGGGGACGGGGAGGCCAAGCCAAGAGTGCAAGGACAAAGGAAAGGATGGAGAAAGGGAAAGGGAGGACAGTAGTGATTATTGAAATAATACAAGTGCTTGAGTGGCACCTCTGTAATGCCATAACATTTGCCAGATGAAGCTGGGGTGCTATAAGAGGCTATGCCTGATCTCTTAGCAGGCTACCTACAGATTCTGAGTTATGCACCCAGAACTCTAATAAAATTTAGAGAACTTGTCTTTTTCTCTATGTGTAAAAACACTCAAGTTATGACTGAATATGGAATTTACCTTAGGCACTTTTCAGGATAGGTTTACCTCCTAGTACCTATAGTTATAGTTGTAGTTATAGTTAGTCATAGTTAGTATAGTTTTATACTTATAGAAAGACCTGTTCTAATTGGACATAGTCACTTATACACGTAGCAATCATGTTATACATTTGACACAACCTTGATGCTTTATGGACAAAAACGTTAAATTAATTTGTATCATCAAAATCTGTATGTCATTTATAGTTTTCTACTCTAAGGCTCAGCAAAAAACTTAACCTAAGCAAAAAGGTCCATTGAAAATTAAATATTACATAATTTTAACATTATGATATTCAATTAAGTTATGCT